ATCTTCTTTTCCTACTAATGCATTCCCAGTTGTGTTTATTTGGTCTTATGTTCCTTCTAGTTTAGGCTTCATTTCTGAAATGATTCTTTTCTTTCTGATTTTTTCCTTAGCTCTGATATCTCATTTCTGAGTTTTTCTGATTCTGATTTAGGTTATTCTTTTATGTCTTGTATAATTTTCTTCATATTTCTTAGCTCTTTTTGAAATAGAAGTAGATTGCATTTTTGAGCTATTTTGGGGGCATATCTTTCTAGTATGTTTCCTTTGTCTCCAGGAGAACTGGTCATTCCATTTCACTATGATAAGCAATTAAATCAGCAGAGGTGGACGCAGCCTTTTGTGGGAGAGGTCACCAGACCAGCCAGGAGGACTGGAAGTGGCCTGGGTGCTCTCCATGAGACTGGCAAGGACTTCCTGTGTAATGGAAATGTAACTTTAACACTTGCACAATTTACCAATGCCTGTATGACTTTTAACCTGCACAAATTATTCCTGTAAGCACTCACTAAAAAAGCGGGGAAACATATCTAAAGGTATTTTAAGTGAAGCAGCTTTTTAGAGGTCAAAGCAGAACTAGACACACATTCCAGCGGCCAGCCAGTCTCAAGGACTAAACAGCCCTCTTATCTTCAGGACACCTGGCAGAGCCCAAGTGATTAAAAAAAAAAAATTGAACAGTCCCTTATCGGTGGGGCTAGCCTGTTAAGCCTGACCATGAAAAAAAGTCTTTGTCCAAAAAAAGTGTATAAAAACTCTCATGTCATGGAGCTGGGGGCCGCTTTTCCGAAAGACAAAGCGACCCAGCATGCTGAAGTAAAACTCCTCTTGCTTAAATTGCAGCGATCTCTTGTCTCGTGGTCTCTGTGAGGCGAGTCACTCCAGTGTGTAGGATTTGTGCTTGGTGCACGGGTCTTACACCTGGAGGCAGAAGTTGCCTCCCATCTGCAGTTCTTGGGCCCTAACTTTTCAGAATATTCGACCCTTACCAGGGAGTGATGCCATTCTGGAGTCAGCCTGGAAAGGGTTGGTGGCCCCCCAAATCTGTGCTTCCACTGCCACTTGGTGTCCTGCATGCATCTCACACTGCACACACCTAAGGCTGATGCAATCTGTTCCCTCAAGCCGGCATTTCTCTCTGTCTCAGCTGGATACACAACCCTCCACCACAGCCTCCAAGCCAGAGATCTGGAAGTCTTTCTAGGATCCTTCCTCTCCCTCAACCCTCCAACTGAACACCACATTCTATCTCACGTCCTCAACATTTCCTCCCATCCCTGCACCCTTTCTCCAGTTCAGATGTTACCTCCTCCCCTGTAGACTGCTGCAGCAGGATTCAGTGGATCCCCCTGCCTCCAGCCTGGCCTCCTCCCAGTTCCACATGGGTGGAGAATGTCCAGACTCCTTGTGCTACCAACCAAGACCATTCAGGGCCTGGTCCAACCTGCTCATTCCGCCCCATCTCCCACTTCTTGGCTCAGGCTTTATGTTCAAGCCATCTTGAAATGTCCAGTCCCCCTGCATCCAGCACAGTCTTACTACATTTTTCTGTGATTTTTCACTTGTTTTCCTTCTTCCTTGTCATGAACTGTTAGGGTCTGAGATTTTATCCCACTTGCAAGATAGCAAGTTAGACTGCCACGGTTTCCTGGTTCTGGCAGATATGAGACTCCTGGGTCAGAGACAAAGGACGTCACTGCTCATGGCACAGCAGGTTTCACGAGCTTCATGTTTGCTTTGACTCCTCTTGCCTGCCATGTCCCCTGAGTGTGATGCAGAAGTGGGCCTGTGTCATGGCTTCCAAAGCTCAAGCTGAGGAAACTCTCAATCTTCTAAAGAAGGCTGCTAGTAAACCTGCTCAAATTTTGCCCTGGAGAGAGACACTATCTTCCAAGGTGAGAGATATCGTTTTATTATCCCTCTTCCAAGGAGGGAGAAATTATCTGGACCTTCCTGGGCTACTCAGATACTCTTAAAAAGGTAGTCTGGAATAAAAGCTGTCAGTGACTCTTCTCCATGAAAAGGACCTTAGCCAGAAAATGGCCCTCTTTGGGGTAATTAAGACCAAGCAGAAAATTTCAGTTAGCCATTAACTTAGGAACTGATAATCACCAATTCCTTGAGGTTTGCAGAAGAATTGAGAAACTGAAACTGCCCGTGGGTGAAATCATGCTCTAAAAGGATCCTTTTCAAAAGTTTATTTGTTGATCTCCCATTACACCTCTTATGTTGGTTTTCTTCAGATGTTGCATGCTGAAAATCAAGAATTGGAACTAAGTTTTCTTGTTTTTCTTACCTTTCCTAATCAACTGCAAACAGAGGAATTCCAAGAGAAAAGCAAAGCATCTTAGCTGACTATTAATTCACCCTCTTGCTTAAAGGAAAATTGTATCCACATTAGTTAGAGGTACAAATCAGGTATTTTTATGTTCTAGTGATGCTTGACTGAGGTTATTGTCTTTGAGCTCACCCTAGCAGATCAGGACTCCTCCCCAAGATAACATCAAGGGCTTGAAGTGGACCAGGCCACCAACTGTACACTCCATTTCGCCAAAGCACCTAGTCCATCATGAGACTCTGACATCTGACTTAGACAGACCCTCTGCTGATCCCATGACCAGTCTCCCCGTTTCTCTGCAGGACAAAACCCTTACCTCACCTTCCTGCCTTTTCCCCTTTATAAGACCCAGAATAGGCGTCAAAAGGTGGGATGATTTTAGCCTGGTTATCTGAATAAAGCTTCCAATCCTTGCACCAACTTTTGGACTTATGGGTCATTTGTTTAGTGCAAGAGGGCAGCCGAGCCTGTTGCTGGTAACAGCCAGACATGTAGAAATGCAGGAGACCCATGGAGAATGGGCTTCCAATATTCTTGTGGGGCTTCTTCTGCTCCCTTCTCTTGGCCACCTCCTTATCCTTCGAGACCCAGCTCAGGCATCTCTGTCTCCAGGAAGCCCACTTTGCTTCCTCCAGGTGGGTTCCAAGCCCACCACTTGCCCAGGCCCCCATAACATACTGTTCCTATTGCTGTCATTGTGCTGGTCACTTTGCACTGAAAATAGCCTCAAGGCTCAGCCACTCCCAGATCTGAGTTCACCCATACTCACTATAGACCATATAATTCCTCCATATAAATTTGGAAAAGCATCCCTTCCTCTGGGTGGACACAGTCCCATGACAGCATATAGGCCCTGACAAGTGATGCACAGATTGGATTTCAGTCCTACTTGTCCCCGCAGCTGTGCAGTCTTGGCAGTGAACAACCTCTGTGACCAGATGCGCTCGCCCTGAATTTATTTACTTTTTCAAACAGGTCTGAGACTTCCCCTGCCTGCCACCACACAGGAGCATGGGTGATGCCTGCCACAAGCCTGGGAAGTCAGAGTATAATAAGCACTCTCATTTTAAGAGTGGGGAAACCGAGGCACAAAGCTATTAAGAGACTTGCTGAGGGGCTTGCAGCTGGCCTGGAGCCCAGGTCTCCTGACCCCTAGTTCAAGTTCTTCCCAGCATACTGCTGAGTAGGTTTTCTGACCTTGAAGCCAAACAGATTTTAGAGTTCCTTTTTGGCTTAGGGCTGCATGTACTGCAAAGAGGCGGTTTCTGGAGGGCTTTCCTCCCATGCCAGTGTTTCCCAGCAAGTAGCATGACAGCTGGGGATGACCGGAAGCCACCGCTGTAAGTCAGCTCTTTTCTCCCCAAAGCCCTGCTCTGTGGGACCTTCCTGCAGAGGGTCTGCTTCCTGCCTCAGCTGCTTCCCCTTTCCCCACCCCAGATGACCCTGCTGAGCAGCAGGCGGCCCCAAACTTGGATTCCAGCCAACTGAGTGTGTCCACAGCAACCACACTGCAAATGTGCGCCAGGCTTTCCAGATGGCCTCGGGCGGGTCGTGCTGAGCAGAGGGCAGGCTCGTCTGTGAGAGTGGGAGGCAAGATGGGGACCCTCCCGTCGTCTCCTTGCCCCTCCCCCCCAGGGCCTCTGCTCCTCTCTGTTGACCTCACCTGCAGGCCTGTGCCCCTGGCAGAGGCTTGTTCACAACTAGGGTGAATGAGATCTACCCCATTAAGGTGTTGTGGGGCCACCCCAGGCATGGCATCTGGGGCCAGTTTGGGACTTTTCAAGATGGGCAGGACATTGTGCCCAGCTGTCACAGCAACCCTTGGAGATGGAGACACAGCAGGACCAGGGCAAGTCTGGTTCCTGCAGAAACCCTGGTGGCTTCTTCCAGCACTGCTGGCCCAGCCCCAGCCTCGAGGCAGTGAAAGCAGAGGGAGGACGGAGCCAGCCAGCCAGGGTGTGAGGGACAAATGCCAGAGACGAGACAGACGAGCCGCTGCCACACATTGTGGCCTGCAGCTCTGTTACCCTTGGTCACACATGCATGGCTCTGGACTCCTGACCTCTCACTCAGGGCTGTGGAGAAACCAGGGCCCATGAGTTGCATCCTGCGCCCAGGTTCAGGCCAGGCCTGAGATGCTTACCACAGCCGGCTGCCTCCAGCAAGGTCACTGAGAGCTGGGATCCGACTTTGGTTTTCTTCAAACAGGTCACTTGGGCTGCTGTGTAGGGGCAGGATAGAGAGCCCTAGATTTGGGGTCAGTCAACCCTGAATTCAGTCATCACTTTGGCCTCTGATATGCGTTGAATGGCCCCTACAAAGGTCATGTGGGAGCTTGATTTTCAATGTGTCAGTTTTGAAAGGTAGGGCCTTTAGGAGACTCGATCGTGAGGACTAGGCCCTTATGAATGGATTAACGCATTCATGGAGTAATGGGCTAATGGTTTAATGGCTTATCACAGGTGTGAACTGGTGGCTTTATAAGGAGAGCAAGCGAGCATGTGACCACTCAGGCCATTCTTGTCATGCAACACCTCCTGTTGCCACAGGACTCTGTAGCGAGTCCCCACCAAGAAGGCTCTCACCAGATGTGCCCCCTGGACCGTGGACTTCCCAGCATCCAAAACTGTAGGTGAACAGGGGGCGGGCTCATTTGCTGCAGCTGGCTGGAGAGCCTCTGCCCTCTCAGAGCCTCAGTTTCCCTTCCTGTCTAGTGAAGAACATGGCCTCTAGCACTATGACTCTTCCTCAGCAAATGCCCTGGCCGCTGCTCAGGCTCTCTCCACAATTATCCTGTGACGTTGGTTTTGGCATGCTCACTGGGTGGCATGCACGTGTGATGTGTGGGCAGATGTAGGTCGCGTGCATGTATGAGTGTGAGTGTGGGGGGTCAGGAGTGAGCCCCGCCCGCCCGCTCTTCTGTCCCCAGCCAGTCTCAGGAAAAGTGCCATCAGGGGCTGCAGCGGCCGGCCTCACAGGAAGTTGGGCTCCCGCACGACCAGGTAGGGGGGGCTCCCGCTGCCCCCGCCGCCATCCAGGGGCCGGTACACGAAGTGGAAGTCGCGCTTGGGCTCGCTTCGCAGCAGGTAGCCCTTGAGGCGGTGGGGCAGCGCGTCGTCGGCCAGCTGGAAGCAGCGCCCGTCCACCAGCACGAAGAGCCGGTGGTCCCCGGGCTGCGCCACCTCGAACTTCTCGGCGCACTGTGCGCACAGCGCCTGGGCCGACGTGTCAGCCCGCGACGCCAGCGTCCGCGACTGCTGCTCGGGCTCCAGGTACGACACGCAGATGAAGTCCTGCAGGGTGAGACGGGGCGGGCTCGCAGTCACCAGCGGGGCCAAGCGGGCGTCCTGTCTCTCCCCAACCCCAATGCAGGGAGCGGCGAGGAGCCGCGTGGGCTCGGACTGGTCCTTTGCCTTCTCGGGGCCCCAGGCTCCTGTCTCTGGAGAGAGGGTCGCAGGCGTGACTGTGAAGCTGGGAGTCACGGCACCTGCGTCCCCTTCCTTCCTCTGCCACTGAGCCTTCCCTGTCTGAGCCTCACCTCTCACTGGCATGACCGCTCTGGGTGATTCAGTCTCTGCGTCCTGGCAACGAGGAGTGATCGCGCCCCCTGGTGGCCAGTCCACAGGCTCTTCACCAGCCAGTCACTCACTCACTTCCTTGTTACTGAGGCCCCCTGCACACCAGGTGCAATGCTGGGCACGTAGGGCAGAGTAAATAAGAATCAGAGGTGCTGGCCCACCCCACAGTTCAGGCAGGTGGAACAAGAGTTTAGCTCCTTAGGGCTGGAATTGTCTCTGGAGCTCAGAGGAGCAGGAGGCAGGGCAGTGGGGTGGGAGAGGAGGCAGGCTTGGTGGAAGTGGGGAGGGGAACTGGGCCAAGGATAGAGGGTTTAGGGCAGGTGTAGAGGGACACTGTCTGAGCAAGGCGGACAGGTGAGGCGATGCCTGTGGGGCCGGGCATATAGGACCCTCCACCATCCCCCATCTGCCCTGGAGGGTACAGCCCATGTGAGTCCCATGACCTGCCCAGCTTTGAATCTGCTCCCAGTTACTGCATGGCCCTGACTTCTTTGCGCCTCCTCTTGGTCATCTGTAAACTGGAGATAACACCAGTCCTTAGTCATGGTTGTGAGGAAGCTATAAAGGTAGCCTGGAGCCTGGAACAGCCTCTCCTATCCCCAGGCACCCAGAGAGCAGGTGGGAAGCGGTGTGTGCGGGGGCGCCCCCTTGTGGACGGAGTGGTAATGATGACCGCTGCAGAGTGGCCACCATTATGGCTGCAGGGTGGTGAGTGCCTAGGAGGTGCCAGGCTGTGTCCACAGCTTCACTGGGATCGCCCACTTCTTCCAGGAGGTAGAAAGCACAGTCTACTCCTCACATCTTAGTGGCTGCCTGTGTTCTCATCCTCCATGAGATCTCCCAAGTCCCTTTACTCCTACTGCTGACTGTGGACTCTGGGCTTTCACTCCCCAGGGAAGGGATTTAAGGTGTGGGGTGCAGAGGAGGTACTGGGAGGGGACCGAGTGTGGTGGCCTCCCTAAATAACAGATATGGCTCCTCCCTCACCCCTGGGAGGACCAAGAGCCAGTTATTAAGCATTTACCAAGATGCTGTTGATGTAAGGACTTGGCAGCCTAGAACATATACTGGGGAGTTGGAGCTCATGTGGTCTACAGTCGGCCTGTGTGGATAGGGACACTGAGTCCCACAGAGGGGCAGGGATTGTGCAGGGTCACACAGCAAGCTAGTACAGAGCTAGGTCCAGCACTTGAGCCTTCTGCCCCCCAGGCCTGGGCTCAGCCTGTTATAAACAAGCCATCTTGGAAGCCAGGGTGGGGTTCAGGACTGGTGTGCTCTGGGTGCCAGTGAGTCTGCACACCTATTTACAGCTCTGGATTGCTCCCTGGCTTGCTGGCCTAACTCCCTCCTTTCTCCATACACCCCAGTCCTGCTTTGTCTCAGGCCTTGGGCTTGGGGCCTCTGAGATGTGAATCATGGGCCCTGCCCTGCCAGAGGTGACAGCCTTATTCACAGAGGGTTACAATATGGTGTGATACATACAGAAATGGGGCAAGCAGCAGCAGGAAGCACAGAGGAGGGCATCTAACCCAGCCTGTGGGGAGTGGGGCGTGGGGTTGGGGGGGATCAGGGAAGGCTTCTCAGAGGAGGGGCTGCTGGAGAACCAAGTTATCTTAAAGTAGACAGTGAGAGCTACTGAAGGGGAGATAGATCGGCGTGGGCAGAGGCTGAGCAGCCAGGGAGCTGAGCTCAGCATGTTCAGGAAGCTGTGGGTAGCTGGATTTGATGCATTCTGGGGATGTGTGGGAGACAGGAGGGAGGAGGAAGCAGGAGTCTGGCCATGGATGGTTTGAATGCTCAGTCTGTAGAGAGAGAGGTGTGGGGAGGGGTGGCAGCAGCATTTGTAGGGGACGGGCCAGGGGCAGGGAGACCCTTGGCAATTGCTGCATGTGTCCAGGGACCAAGGAGCACAGCTGCAGAGCAGCTTGTGGGCTCTCCAAAAGGATGCACTAGGATGATTTCTCTCCCCATCTCCAGTCCCAGCAAGGCGCTAGGACACAGTAGGTGCCAAGAAATGATGGATAAATGTCTCATTCCAACTATATCCATCTTGTCTGCCCAACAGGAACGCTGATGCCTGGTGGTACTTTTCTAGGCCCACCCACGTCCTGGGCACAGAGCACGACATACACTGGCAGACAGAGGCTGGGGTGCCCTTCCTCTGGTGTGGGAGCCTCACTGCTCCCCTGAGGGCAGGACTGGCCAGCCAGAGCAGCCAGTCGGTGTCACTGCTCGTGAGCCAGCAGGCAGCGGACATGGTGTCTGCGGCATGCTCCCGCCGCCCCCTCCCACTCTCCCTCCGGGGCGTCGTCACCTGCACGGAGGAGCGGGAGGCCCGAGCCTTGTTGAGCGTGCGCCGGCGCTCCCAGCGGTGGATGGAGTCCTGCACCTCCACGCTCAGCTGCCGGGTCACCGTGATCTTGTCATAGTTCTTGATGTGCTCCAGGGCCCCGTAGGTGGTGGTCAGATAGTAGGAACCTGTGGGAATGTGGAGGCTGAGCTAGGACCGTCTCGGCCCACCGGCAAAGGGAGGGAGTGGCCCAAGCTTGGCCTGCCGGCCCACGTCCCCCAAGCCCCGCCCCGTCCGACAAGCCCCGCCCACACCCACGCCCCGCCCACCGCCGCTGCCTGGGACACCCTGCATCTCGGCCACCTGCTTCTGGGCTGCGCTCAACCCCGCGCCCACCCCACAGCCTCAGCAAGCTTCCTAAAGCCCAGCCCTGAGCTGTCGGCCCTGCTCAAAACTTTTCATAGGCTCCCCTTAGGGACGAAACTCTTACTTTTAAAATGATGTTTTTAAATGAGTTTTTAATTTTAAAATGAGTTTTAAAACGTTTTAAAATTTAAAGGGTATGCATGAAACAGAAAAGTGGATGCCTTCAGGGTGGGGAGAGGGGTGGCTGGTAGACAGGGTGGGCAGGAGACCTCTCACTGTGTGTGTGTATGATATACATGCTGTAAATTTCTGAGCCATGTGAATGTATTATCTGTTATGAAACATAATCTTTAAAAAGATGTCGAGGAAATTTTGGTTATGATTATACAATCACATGTAATTTTTAAAAATATAAGTAAAAAATATGAATCATTCATTTCTCCATTTCTTTTTACCTTAACACACACGTATCCTTAATACTTAATGTTTCCTAAAGTAATTTAAGCTTTGAGATACTTCAGACTGCAAAATTTACATGAAGTTTTAAGATAAAAGACACTATTTTACATGGATGCTTACAAGTTCATTCTCTTTAGCTTGTTAGGGGCTTTGGTTAAAAAGTCTTAGAAGTACTAACTTTATCGAACCCCCTCACTTTACAGAAAAGAAACCGAGTTCCAGAGAGGGAGGGTGGCTTGGTGAAAGTCACAGAGTGGTCAGGCCCCAGAGGAGGAGGGTGGCTCTGGGCACCTTGCTCCCTTGTGATCTCCAGCTTGCCCACTTCCATGGTGCTTCCTTGGGCTTTCCTACCACTTGATAGGCCTTTCCTCCTGGCATTCAAGTGCCAGGACAATGATTTTTGACATAAGGCAGATTCTGCTAGTGACCCACCCTAATCCCATATTCCCCTTGTCCCTAACTAACTGAACTCCACTTTTATTTGGAGAAGCAACGCTCAACCGAAAATGCTCACTTCCCAGACTCCCTGGCAGCCGGGGGAGAGAGCAGGAGACTCTGTTCTGGCTCCTGAGCTGTAAGTGGAAGACTCCAGGTGGGGCTTCCAGGAGAAGCTTTTGAAAAGGACGGACTCAGTTGAAATATCCCTTTGAGTTTTTGCCCATCCCCTTCCTTCTGCCTGGAACATAGAGGTGAGCCTGGAGGCAGAGCAGATGTCTTGAGATAAGAGGTGACAGGCACAAAGGCAAAGGCCCACATGCTAGCGAAAAATGGGCAGAGGGGGGGTCCGTGATTCCTTGATGGCAGATGACTGCAAACTGCCATCCTTTTCAGTTGCTTATCCTGGACTTCCTGATGCAAGAGACAAACCAAGCCCTTGCTCTGATTTAAACCATTATTGGTTACATTGTGGGTTATCTGCAGCTCAAAGCATTCCTAACTATTACATTGGATGAAGCAGCCCACACATCCCCACAAACTCTACAATACCGGAAAAGTTCACACTCTGGCCAGGGTGGGTGGGGGTAAGATAAAGGGGTTTATGGGCACAGGATCATGTGCCCTTTCACAGTAGTATAGGAAAGAGACTTTTTTTAAAAAAAGTATATCAAGGGTAACATGGAACTTGGTGTGGTGTCTCTAAGCAGAGAAGAGCCATAAGATAAAGGGGTTTATGGGCACAGGATCATGTGCCCTTTCACAGTAGTATAGGAAAGAGACTTTTTTAAAAAAAAGTATATCAAGGGTAACATGGAACTTGGTGTGGTGTCTCTAAGCAGAGAAGAGCCACTGAACCACTCACGTGTCTCCTTTTCGGGGGGGATGGTGGGAGAGGGCGGCTGGCATGGGGATCCGAACCCTTGACCTTGGTATTATAACACCATACTCTAATCAACTGAACTAACCAGCCGGCCCACGTGTCTCCCTTTCTAGTCAAACATAAGCTCAAGCTTGAGTGGGCCAGGAAGCCGCCCTGGTGCCTCCAGCCTTTACTGCCTGAGAGTCCATGTCCTCTTCGTGGCACCCCTCGACAGTCCTATCTCTTGTCCTTGATCATGTCTCCCTGGCTAGTACAGGAGGACGTGAGGGCAATGTGCTGATTTGTGAGAACGTTCAGTTTTGGAGTCAGAGAGCGGGGTCGAGGCATTTACCCTGTAGCAGGCAGCCCTGTGATCTCGGGTGAGTTACTACCCTCGCTGTGCCTCTGATTCCTCATCTGCAAATCTCATGTCACCATGAAAAGTAAATGAGATGAATCCATGTAAAGTGCAGGCCTTAGTAATGTGTGAGTGACACGTGGTGGCTATGTGACCTCCAGGAGGTGCCCTGGAGGCTTCTCACCTTCCTGGGCAAAAGGGGAGGGACCCCAAGCCCTGTCAGTGCACTCCTACCTGCTCAAGACCTGTTTTTTCACAACCGGTGTGACTCTTCCAGCCACCTTCCCTCTGGCTCGGGGCCAAGCAGTGCCTTCCAGGACCACTAGGTGGCAGGCGACCCTCACCGGGAGTTTTGGAACCAGCTCTCTCTGGGACAAGTGGGTTGTGCATCGATTGGAAAAACCCACTGCCTCTGATAAGATTATTAGCCCAGCATGGCCAGCTGTCAGCCAGCTTAGGGAGGGGAAGTGGGCAAAGGGTCCACAAGGGCACTTCTGGGAGAAGTTTGGATTTTGAGCTGGCTCCAGCCAGGTGCCCAGCAGCTGCCTGGGTCTCCTGACTGCCCCAGGATTTCCTTGAGTGGTGGGAGCAGGGGAGAGAGGCCAGAAAAGAGACTGGAGCCCCATCAACCTGGCATTCAGGCCCTCCCTACTGCTCACAGGAAGTCCCCGATCTCTCCTGCCCCACGTGCCTGCTGCAAAGAAAATGGGGCCTAGTGACTGGTCCTTTGCTAAATTACAGCACGTGGAACAGACTGAAAGGTCATAAAGCACGGAATCCTGCTTGCAGGCCTTTTGTTGAACACTGAACTATGAAACACCTGAAGGCAGAGCCCACATCCATCTCTCATCCTGCCCCCAGGGCTATGGTCTGAATGTGCGTGTCCTCCCAGATTCACATGTTGAAATCCTAACCCCAAGGGGATGGTATTAGGAGGTGGAGCTTTTGGGAGGCGATTAGGTCTGGGGGTGGAGCCTTCATGAATGGGATTAGTGCCCTTGTAAAAGAGATCCCAGAGAGCGGCCTCGCCCCTTCCACCATGCGAGGACACGGCAAGAAGGTGCCATCTAAGAACCAGAAAGCAGGGCCTTCACCAGACACCGAATCTGTTGGTGCCTTGATCTTGGGCTTCCCAGACTCCACAGCTGTGAGAAATAAGTCTGTGGTTCAAAAGTTAACCAGTTTATGGTGTTTTGTCATAGCAGTCCAAATGGCCTAACACCTAGCTAGCCCTGCAGAATACTAGAGCGCCCAGACAGATTAAAAACTCCCATATAACCCAACATCTTCACTTTCCCAAGCCAGAGAGGTGAAGCGACTTGCGCAAGGTCTCTAGCCTTTCAGAGGCAGAGCTGGGCCCCAAATTCAGCCTCCAAACTGCTCTTTTTACTGCAACTTAAGTCCCCAAGAATCTGGGGACCCTGGGAAGGTCTGCCCCATGCCAAGCATCTCTGAGCTCTGTGGAACAAGAAGCTCAGGGACTGGCAGCCTGGGTGGGGCGGGGTCTCTGGCTACTCAAGTCTGAGAAGGGGCAGGCTGCAGGGTATTCAGGCAGCCTTGGGTCAGATTCTGTGAACTGTTAAAGACCTTCATGTATTTATCTGTACTTTGACTTGCCTCAAAAATACCTAAAGTAGCCCAGAATAGACCAGCTGTTCTGCCTGAAGGACCTTGACTTTCCCGCCCCAGCCCCTGAGGCTTCTGGTAGCAGGAAGAAAGATTCCCAGGAGGCCATGGCAGGGCTGAGGTAGGGGATGCAGGTCCACAGGAGAGGGCTGCTGGCCTGAGCATGTCCCTTCCTTCCCTGCTCAGTCATGGCGCCTGGCCTGAAGCCCTGTTTGGCTGCAAGGATTCAGGCTGAGGCCGGAGTAGGGGTCGCAGTGGCTGGGTGTGGGCTACCACTGCCAGAGGGCGAGCCAGTGCTCAGACCATCTGCGCAGAGCCCCCTGGACTTGCTCTGTCCCTCCAACCGCCGAAGGAGTTTCATGGATACTGTCTCAGACGTCACCACCCTATGGGGCTGTTATCATCCCTAGAGGGCGAGCCAGTGCTCAGACCATCTGCGCAGAGCCCCCTGGACTTGCTCCGTCCCTCCAACCCCCGAAGGAGTTTCATGGATACTGTCTCAGACGTCACCACCCTATGGGGCTGTTATCATCCCTTCAGCAGGATTTCAAAAATTATTTCTCCCCAGGTACATCAGCGGCACATGCCCACTGTGGAGAATTTGGAAAATAGAAAAGAAGTAAAGAGAAGGTGCCAACTGCTCTGTGCTCGGGGCTTTCCTTGGTCACCTGAGTCCCATCCTGCCCAGTCTCTCCACCCACCAGCCCACTTCACTTCTCAACATTCATCAGAGGTGAAGTTACCTCGTGTGCTTGTTTGTTTAACCTGACTCCCCCTCTCCCCCACTGGAATGAAACTCCATGAGAAAAGGGATCTATTGTCACCCGGCACGAAGGAGAAGCTCAGTAATGTCCGCTGGATGAATGAGTCAACGGCCTTTGCCCAGGCACCGATTAATAGTCTTAGTGCCTTATTATTATTATATTAAGGCTATTAATTCTTGGTGTACCAATTTGTGGGAACATTTTCTCTTGGTTTATTGTTAATATCTCATTCTATTTATGGTAATTTTTGACATGTAGAAGTTTTGATCTTTGGAGGTTACATGTATGGCAACCACCAGACCACAGAGAGGACTCCTGCGAGAGCTCTGGGTCCCTCTAAGGGGCTAGTCCTAGGAAATGGGGTGCTCAGAGTTTGGGGTAGGAAGCCACTTCTGCTCACAGCCCCCTGCCCCTCGCTGTCTCTCAGTCCCTTCTGTTCTTTCCCCTGATGCTGGTTGGGCCTGTGAGAGACAGGGCAGTGTTGCCTGGACTCTACCCACCTCTTCAGCCTTCTGGTGCTTCCATGAGCATGCTCAGGGCTGGGGAAAACAGAGGAAGACCATGAAGGCCTGAGGAGGTGGAAGCCCCAAAGTGTTGGGTGCAGAGTGGGCCACTCATTTATTCTCATGATGCTACTAGCATCACCCATCTTGCCCTGCACTGTAGCCCAAGTGTCTGCCATGGATGGGTGGGTGGATGGATGAGTGGGTGGGTGGGTGGATGGATAGGTAGATGGATGGATGGATGGATGGATGGATGGATGGATGGATGGATGGATGGATGGATGGATGGATGGATGGATGGATGGATGGATGGATGGATGGATGGATGGATGGATGGATGGATGGATGGATGGATGGATGGATGGATGGATGGATGGATGGATGGATGGATGGATGGATGGATGGATGGATGGATGGATGGATGGATGGATGGATGGATGGATGGATGGATGGATGGATGGATGGATGGATGGATGGATGGATGGATGGATGGATGGATGGATGGATGGATGGATGGATGGATGGATGGATGGATGGATGGATGGATGGATGGATGGATGGATGGATGGATGGATGGATGGATGGATGGATGGATGGATGGATGGATGGATGGATGGATGGATGGATGGATGGATGGATGGATGGATGGATGGATGGATGGATGGATGGATGGATGGATGGATGGATGGATGGATGGATGGATGGATGGATGGATGGATGGATGGATGGATGGATGGATGGATGGATGGATGGATGGATGGATGGATGGATGGATAGATGGATGGATGGATGGATGGATGGATTTAGAGCTACAAATTTGGCTTTGAGTATTATCTGGGCTGGCTGCACCCCAAGAGATTCTTGGTGGAGGGATGGCTGTGGCTAAGTGGGCGGGAGGAAGTGGGGAAGGAGAAATGGGGAAGGAAAACTGAGGGTAGGTGGAGTGAACCACGCTTCTGCCTTCATCCGATTGGGGAGCGTGGGCCCCTTATCCACGTCACTAACCTCCTCCCACTGACAGAGGCCCTGACCCAGGGCTGGATGAGCAGGGGGCTGAGAGTCCCTGGGGGCCACCCATCTAAGAACTCACCATAACTCCCTGTCAGGGTCCTCACCGTGGGCACTGCCCACTGCTTTAGCCTCACCTTTTACACTACCAGCTCCTGCTATCCCCTCTACAAAGAATGCCCTTTTCCTCCCTTTATCTGACTGGCTCCTATTCATCCTTCAATGCTCAGCTCAGGTGTCACCTCCTCCAGGAAGCCTTCCCTGACTGCACAGTCTGAGTTACATGCTCCCATACCCTCTAGGCTTCCCATGTTTCCGGCACTTGTCAAGCAGCAGTAACAGGTCTCTTCATTGGCTCATCTCCCCTCCTATTCTGTGAGCTCCCCCAGGACAGGGCCTATGGAGGATTCACATTCACATTCCTGTCCCCAGGGCTCAGCTGGAGTCTGGCACCCAGGAGGTGCTTGTTGGGCTGCCCAGAGTGGTCCTGGCATGGCTGGGTTGGGGGTGTGTGATGGGCCTGCGTGGCCCAGAGCTGACTCACCCTCCCCCAGCTGCAGGGCAGGGTCCATGAGCTCCATCATGTACTCCACGTTGAGGAGCGCATGTTTCCGGCACTCGTCAAGCAGCAGTAACAGGTCTCTTCATTGGCTCATCTCCCCTCCTATTCTATGAGCTCCCCCAGGACAGGGCCTATGGGGGATTCACATTCACATTCCTGTCCCCAGGGCTCAGCTGGAGTCTGGCACCCAGGAGGTGCTTGTTGGGCCGCCCAGAGTGGTCCTGGCATGGCTGGGTTGGGGGTGTGTGATGGGCCTGCGTGGCCCAGAGCTGACTCACCCTCCCCCAGCTGCAGGGCAGGGTCCATGAGCTCCATCATGTACTCCACGTTGAGGAGCATCTCCGCCAGGTTGCTGCGGGCCAGCACATACATGAGCACGGGCAGGAAGTCGTCTGCCCCGTAGGGCTTCCCTGCGAGGAGGAAGGAGGCAGAGGCAGTGAGTGCGAGGCGGTGAGTGAGGGGCAGTGGATGGCTGGGTGCGGGCGGTCACCCCTGGAAGAGGAATGTTCTTGCTTTCTTGCGACTCTCAGGCCAGGAAGGACCCTGGGATTAGCCTCCTCAGGGAGGCCTGAGGCACGGTCCAGGTTTAGGAGGAAGGAAGTGAGAAAGAGCAAGACCTTGACTCCTTCCCCTTTCCCAGCTCCTCCCATGACCATGCCCCTTGCTGCTTGCTTGACAAGTTCACATCACACTGATTCAAGGACCCACCCAGAAGCAACTGTCTGCCCCAAATTGATGTCTTCTGGGAAGTTTCCCCGGCCCCATTAACCACACATCTCCTTCCCCAATCACATACTACAGTAAGAAAACCCTCCCTAATCAGATACTACAAGGCCTAAAATTTCCCCATTCAACCTTCACTCCTTTGGGTTAAGCAGTGCCCTTTCCTAAGGGTTTCCTTTAAAAGGTAAATACCCCTGGAAGGAACAACTCATCACTACTACCTTTGTGGGAGACATTCACAGGGCTCAGAGAATCTGACAGCAACAGATGCCTCGCAAGGCAGGTGGAGGGCACCCTAAGAAGGAAAGGGGACAGAAAGTGGGCCCAAAAGGTGCCTCCCCAGTTTGGCTCCAGGCATGCGTGTGGGCTGATTACTAATCTCACCCAAGACACAAAGGGCAGCAGCAATGGTGTGGATCCTTCTGGGGCCACACCCTGACATGGTAACCTCTAGCTGAAGACTGCCCATTTGACAATGCAAAACCAAAGCTGGAGCTGCAGGGAGGAATTCTGCAGGGACAGAACCCTCTGGAAGCTGTCATCGGCATCCACGTAAGGCTCTGCGAGTGCACTGGAGAGGTGAAGCTAGACTGACAGCTTTGTACAGCGGATGGCCATGCTGGGTCCTCAACCCACCTTCCCACTTCCTCTAACCAAAGGGAGTCCAGGGCTCAGGCAAAGGTCTCCAGAGTCATCTGGAAGTTACCATGTCTGGCTGTGGCTCCAGGAAGATCAATATCAGTGCTGCTGCTTTTTGAGACTTGGATGAGATTAATAATCAGCACAAACACATGCCAAACAATTTACAGTTCTTTCAAAAGTGTATTTCTATCTGACATGTTTTACAAAGGCCTTAGGTGACCATTGGGGAGTATACCTAATAAGCAGTAAATTCTAAAAAATTTAAGTATCACAAGAAATATTAAGCACAAATAAGAAACAACCTACAAAACTGCTTCTTTAGAGCTACAAATTTGGCTTTGAGTTTCCTGGTGGCCAAAGTAAAGAAGAAAACATGATGAGTTAGCATTTTTCTAATTGTCTGTGAGAAGAAAAAAGAACAGTTTCTTGGGGAACCAAATTATTTTTCCAACCCCTAGCTCTAAAATAATTTTTTCACACTGTCTGTGAGAAGAAAAAAAAAAAAAAAAACAGTTTCTTGGGGAACCAAATTATTTTTCCAACCCCTAGCTCTAAAATAATTTTTTCACATGTGGCTTCATTGGGGGACATGAAGACACATGACTGGCAAGTTCCTACAGCACACACGAGGATGTTTCACCCCATTGCCTCAGAATGTGGCTCAGGGTGAGCTCTTCCAGGGTAGGAAAGCACACTCCATAGTTAACTACGCACGTTCACATCTGTTCCTTACACCGATTCCATAATGTAAGTGTTGTTCCGCCCACCTTACTTAAGAAAAGACTGGAGAGTTTAAGTGACTCTCCCTCGGCCAACCACATTCTGAACTCCTGAGAGGTGCAGAGTTAAAGGTTGGACCTCTGGCCTCAGGCCTGTGTTCAAATCACAACTCTACCACTCACTAGCTGTGGACCGTGGGAAGCTCCTTCCCTCCTATAATTTTGCCCGAGAGGTTGAAGAATGAGGTGCCCATGGATGTTTGAGGGTTAAATGAAAAAACATGACACAGTGGTCAGCACCCTGTCAAGCCAAATTGAGGACTAAGGCAAAATGACAAATGTCTGCACCTATAGATACTTATCAAAATACCCTCCCAGATTTTGAACCAAGTGAGAAAAGTTAATGAACGCTCTATAATAAAAAACATGACCATATATAAAGTCCTGTGTTGCTAATCTGTTTGCATGCCATGGTCAACCTTCATAAACTCTCATGGGACCAGAAACCCTGGGCTTATTGGATATGACTGTTCCTGTTGCACGATAACGCAGGGTTATAAAACAAACACCAGCCTATCTTTCCTTAAAATGCTGATGTTTTGTTCATTGTGGATTTTTTGCATTAATTTTTATTTTTCAAAATATTGCATTAAAATATTACTTTTCTTGCCATATGACCCAAAAGTGTCACTCCTAGTTATATACCCAAGAGAAATAAAAACATATTTTCACACAAAGACTTGTATGCAAATGTTTATAACAGCATAGTTCATAACAGCCAGAGTGGAAACAGCCCACATATTTATCAACTGGTGAATGGATATACAAAATGTGGCACACCCGTACAGCAGAACCTATGTGGTAATAAAAAGGAACAGAGTACTGATGCATGCTGTGATGTTGATGAACCTTGAAACATTATCCTAAGTGAAAGAAGCCAGTCACAAAAGACTGCACATTGTACATATTATATGATTCTATTTATAGATAATGTCAGATTAAGCAAATTCACAGAGAAACAGAAAGTAGATTAGTGGTTGCCAGGAACTGGGGGGAGGAAAGAATGGAGGTGACTGCTAATGGGTACAGAGTTTCTTTGTGGGGTGATAAAAATGTTCTGGAATTAGAGTAGTTTTGATTGCATAATCTTGCAAATATACTAAAAACCACTGAATTATTTTAAAAAACTGTGAATACATGCACACACATATGGTATATTATATATATATATATATATATAAATTTATCTTGATTCCTGAGTTTTTTTGGCATCCCCTTCTGTGTTGCACCTAAGGTGAGCATCTCACTCACCTCATCCAAATCCTGGCCCCACGGGGGTGCCCAGGGCAGTGGCTGGCACAACACAAGTATGTGATAGGTGGTAGCCATTATGAGTGGGCACTGGCATGGGGCCCAGCATGCAGGGAGACAAAGGAAGTGAGTCAGAGTTGGTCCCTGCCCTCAGGACCCTCCCAGTCTAAAGCCAATGGCCGTGCCAGGGATTGTGATTTGGGGTCATGTACAAGCGACCAAGGATGGCCTGTGTTCTTTGCCTGCTTGGTCTTGTTCTAGCCTGGTATGAGTGCCCAAGACTATAGACTGTTTCCCCTCCAGTCTCTGTTTCTTTTCATAGTAACATCACTCCTGACTTTTAGCTGGGACATGGCCACCCACAATAAAGACTATATTTCCCAGCTTCCCTTGCAGCTAGGTACAGCCATATAACCAAGTTCTGGCTAATGGGATTTGAAGGGGAAGTGACATGTTCAACTTCCAGGTCATACCCTTATGGGGGAGGAGCCTGTGGATAGAGAAAAACCTTGAGGATGGTAGAGCAACAAGACAGAAGGAGCCTGTGTCCCTGAGGGCCTCGCAGAGGAGGTGTCAGGCCAGCTTGCACTGGTACATGAGCATTAAATAAATTTCAGTCCTGTTTATCTCACTGTGGTGTGTGCATGTGTTAACAGCAGTCTGTGCTACACGCTCACTTCCACAACATGTGAGTGGGAAGTGTCTCCAGTTAGTGGTCAGAACAGCCAGGCCAGAGCACCCTGCTCATTCATTCATTCATCCATTCACTGAAACCCTCTCACTAACCATCATGTTTCTCAGGTCTCACTTGCCTCGGGTCTTATCTGTAATAAGATCTGATTTTTCTGGATTCCAGTGGGGAACAGAAAGATGCAAGTAAAATAAAGGGTGCGAAAGAGGGGGAGCTTCATGTTGAATTTAGTAGCCCCTCCAGAGGCTTCTGTTCCCAACGCTCATGCCTGGCTTGGCCAGTGTCTTCACAGGGTGCTGGGTCACATCCCAAGAAGCACACACAAGCACAGCCTCAGTGGGCTCCAGGTGGACACGTGTCTGTCCACATGCCCACACCTCCATGGGCACAGGCCAGGCTGGCACATCCTCTCCTGGGTCCTCCCCAGCACCTGCAGTATAGTGTTGGCACTGTGGAGGCCTCCGAGAACGTTCATCCAGTGAATGTGAGTTATGCTCCCAACTCGCCCTTGTTTGGTTTTCCAGAGAACAGTGTGCCTGTGGCCTGCCTGTCTGGTCACAGTCAGTTTCCAAATCTGCAAAATGGAACCAGCAACACTGGCCCTGATGACCTTTAAGAGTTTTTGAGAGAATAAAATTAGAAAAAACATGAAAGTCATTCAGAACCTGTAAAGTGCTATGGAAAAGAGAAGTGGTATCAAGATCTAAGTTCTGCTTTCTTGGTGGCCTCAGTTATTCCACCTGTGAATTGAATGGGCTGAAGGGGTTAGCCACACACAGCACTGAAGAGCAGAGTCAGACAGACCTGGAGCGTAAATCCCAGTGCACAGCTCACCAGTGGTGTGATCTTGGCCTAACTGCTTTACCTCTCTGAGCCTGCCTTCCTAGTTGTGTGTGAACTGACAGATAACAGGACCATCCAATGGGGTTCGGCGAGAATTCTATGAAATGATCTACATGGACAGTCCCCACAACGCTCCCATGGAAATGTCTACTAAGGAAGAACATCTACTCTTATTCCAGCATGTTCTAGGGTCCTCTGATTGTTTGCCACAAGGTTTCTGTATCCTCCCTGCACAATTAGTGAATTTGGGAAGCCTTCCCATCACCTTTATGACCCTGAGACATGACTAAAGAGTTCCTGGAGAAAGGTTATTTTGTGCTTGGAGTTGTTTTTCATGTGGATAATTTAATTACGGAACCCTGGCATACAGGAGATCTTTTTCTTTTTTGATTTATGAGTTAAGGAACAAGGCAAGGTCAGCAGCACAAATGTGAAACACAGTCCTGTGCCTTCTGGCATTCACCCATAACTCATGCATTGG